GACTAAAAGGGAATTATAGGCCGCGGTACAGATCCCATCTTCTTATATATTATTTCTGAAATATCCATCCCTTTCCCGACTCTCAGGAGTGATGGATTTTGACGAATGAATTATTAATAGGGAACATAACGTAGAATGCGCGAATCGTAATTTTGATTCCTAATTCTATACCAGGACTTAAATATAAGTGAATGTAAAAGTGGTAGGTTTCAAACCATAAGATGGGTGCAGTCTCAACGAATCGAGACGTTGCAAATGAATTCATAATTTGATAATAACTCGAAAACTACGCAATTCTTGGTCCATTATACATCATGCGAGTATTTGAAAGCTAAATAAATTCTCCACAAAACGTTAAAAAAAAAATCATCGGAATCGGACGAGTTGCTGCAGAGTTTCAGCGTTCAGAAAATTTAGTATTTGTTATACTGCAAAAAGATTTTGTTACATATGGGAATTTATGATTTTTGGAACTGGCCCTTTTTTCCGTGTGCTTTTACATCCATGGATGTAACATACATCCATTTATCACTAATGTATCAATTAGTTATTATTTTTTTAATTCAAAACATTTTATTCTTTTCAACTAATTAAATTATTAATTTTATTTTTATTTATATAAATGAGTCTTCCTCAAAACACTTTTGGGAATGTTTGTCAATGTGCTTGTATTACATTAGCTTTTACTTTTAGACCTTTATTATTGATGTTTATCAATTTAAAAGTAAACTTTCGATTATTTATTTCTTTTTTGGATAATGTAACATACATCCATGGATAATGTAACATACATTATATGTTTGATACATATAATGTATCAATTAGTTATTATTTTTTTAATTCAAAACGTTTTGTTCTTTTTAACTAATTAAATTATTAATTTTATTTTTACTTTCACTTACGTATATATGTAATATATAGTAAGGGTAAGTATTGCGATCGTGAAAATTTTGGAATCTCAGTTTTCAACGGAAATACATGTTTTGAGGTCCCCTGAGTTCAAATAACCAAGTGTCGCAAAATGGTGGTGTGTGTGTGTGTGTGTGTGTATGTGTGTGTCTGTCTGTGTGTGTTAACAGTCTAGCTCATAAAAGAAAAGTAGTACGAAACTGATATTAAGTATTTAAGGTTTGTATATGGACCGGATGTGACAGCAACTTTTTCGTTAAAATCGGCTAACCGGAAGTGCCACTTTATATGAACGCTGAAACACATTTTTACAATTTTCTCAAAAACAACTCAAACAATTTTGATTAAACTCGGTGTATCATTGTATAATTAAGTGGTCTTTAATATCATTTAGGTCTTATCCCGTTGATGTCACTTTCGCAGGGCTTAAATGCCCAATGTTCATATATGTCTTCCTCTGAAGTACCTTTAATATGGTTTATTTTAAAAAGTTAACCATTTCGCATTATTCAAAGTTACGAAAAAATGCTACATACAACTTTTAAAAGAATTCGATAAATTAATAAAAGATAAAAAAATAAAAATGCAGAAAAACCTGCGTTCCTACAGGCTGTAGCTCCTTAACGGATGTACCGATTTCAATGAAACTTCGCTAAAGTCATTTTCTCGATACCCTTTAAATTTATCTATATAACATACTTCAACGAAAAGAATCTGGAAAAGAAGTTACGAGGGATGTTAAAATTAAATTCCGAATAACTCAAAAAGTATACGATTTTTTGTCGATGTTGTATGGTTTTTAAAATTTTATTGAATTTCCTAAAAAAAAAAAAAAAAATCGTTAAAATCGGACAATTAGGAGGAAAGATATGGTCTCTAGTTATTTTCCCTGAAGAGGTGAAAATTTGGATAAATTTAAAATATATTTTTTTAATTGTTGAGACTAAAAAAACCTTTTTTCTACAGATATTTAATAAAGTGTCTTTCCTAAGAGCATCTTTCTTAAGATAGTAGTACCTAAATTTATACTTTTATTCTCAGTTCTATATTTCAACACTGCAATCACCACTTCTGGAATCAACTTACTCATTGTCTGCATAGATAACTTTTTAACTAAAAATATCACTAAAATGACATCACTCAAAAATGTTGAAATTGGAGTTAGTCATTCTGTGGTTTATAAAATCAGATATAGTGAATTGATTTTTATTGCCTCTCTTCCATATATTAAATAGACGTTTTGTAATTATAATGGTCTTAATGACTTGTTATCTGTAAGCTTTAAGCTCTAGCTCCGTTTAAAATGCACTTCAAAAATTTTTATAATAGCCCAGCATTGCCAGAAAATAATTTCTATTCAAAGTAGATCGGTAAATAAAAGTTGTGTGTTGCGCGCACCAGATTTTTATTTATATAAATGTGTCTTCCTTTTAACACTTTTGGGAATGTTTGTCAATGTGCTTCAATTACATTAGCTTTTACTTTTAGACCTTTATTATTGATGTTTATCAATTTAAAAGTACACTTCCGATTGTTTTTATTTATTTATTTATTTATTTTTTTTTTTTTGGGTAATGTAACCTACATACTGATTCGACTAACTATTTCTCCCTGAGAATTTGAGCCTTTTGTCAATTGCCGTCATTAGATGTTTAGAAGCTTTTGTTAATTTATAATAATCTAATGAAGGGAAAAGCTGATATCTAAGTTATAAGTTTAAGGAAACGCAATGGTTAAAAACATGGCAGATTGTAAATCATATTAATAAACTAGTGAGTTACTAAATATATGTTTTAAACTTTTGCGTATCAAACATTATTGAATGGACGTTGTAATGAGCCCTTAATGTATTAAAATCATATACAGACATTAGGTTTGTTCGGCCTATTCGCACGGCTCGTCTAGTATTATCAAATTGTTAACACTCGTTCAAAACTTCGTCAATGGCTTCATATTATCGTGACCTTCAACTTTTTTATCTGCGAATATTGTCATAAATAGACTTTTTCAATTTTCAGTCCGGTAAACATTGTCTATTTATTACGGTACTAAAAACTCGCTTTTCACTTGAATCCTAAAATAAATTGATCACAAAATTGACGATAAAAGATGGCCTACAAAAATATTGGGTCGTTTGGTCTATATATCCTCGATAATTTAAGACGTCAGGCCAAATGGTCGAATAATTTTGAATGGCACCTTTTTTCTCGAGTTTGTGATCAAATTATCTTACAACTCAAGTGGAAAGCAAATGGATGTTCATGAATTTTTAGTACCTCATTAAATAAACATAGCTTCCCGATTTCCTTTTTGAAAACGCTCCCATTTCTGATAATTTCAGTAGATAAAAAAGTTGAAGCTTACGATAATACGAACCTATTCACGAAGTTTTAGACGTATTTCAATAATTAGACAAAAACATATCTGTATTGTGGATTATGACTAATGTTCAAACATATTTTTCGGCTAAGATCAATAACTAGTCGGGAACAAAATGTATATTGGTTCTAGATAAATCTCAGATTCAACAATAAAATAGACCAAATGAAATCGAAAAAATAAAATGGATGTAAAAAAACGTTGTGGACATCAAATTCCTGTAAGAATGGCCGAAATATTTCTGTATATGTGGATATATAATCGTGTGTTTATGTCCTTGCGCGGCCGTGCTTATATGAATGAATGAATGAAAATAACTTTATTATTCTGGGACTATAGTGTCTCTTTAGAATAAATATGTATTTATAATAAATAAATAACTTCTTTCAAGACGCTCAAAGTTAAAATTAAAGCAGAAACTGAACACCTACATTTATTTACTAAAATCTACATGGAATTACGCCTGGACTCATTACCGCGTATGGGAAGCGTCCCACGGATGCATGGCCATACTAACACACTGATACACGACATGACCTCGATTAACATGTCCGCAAACAAGCTTCAGAGGCTCAAAAGAAGCTGTATGAGGGATTTCCTCGCCTAAAAATAACCTTTCCCTCACACCGATCAAGCTACTATCTGTATTTTCCCAACAGCAGACTCGCTAATTGTCAGTATTTCTGACAGGTATGGGTGAAAAATAAATAGTTATAAAAAAAATGTATGTACATGTTTTATTAATATTTTTAATACGTATTAGTAATATTTTTACTTGCATTTATGTTTTCTTTTTGCTTCATTCATTGTACAAACCTGTATGAGAAAGATGGATTTTTAGCGGTAAAGTTCATGAAGCCTTAGGAATCTAATTAATATATTTTCTTTATTGAATATTTAATAGTTGACATTATAAAGGAAGGTGGCGGTCATAAATAGGCTAAATAGTGGTAAAACTATTTTATTGAAAGCCAACGTTTCTACTCGACTTTGCATGTCTTTTTCAGGGCTAGAACGGACAAGATACAAAAGGATAGAAAATTGTGGAAGTTACATAATATTTAGACAAAAAAACTATAAACAATGTGAATAAGCTTATTAAACTTATAAACAGTAAGTGCATTAAAATATGAACAGAGTAAGCTAAGTAACAAGATCCAATCCATTAACAAGATTTACTTCAGTTTAGGATTTTGTTACTTAGCTTACTCTGTTCACATTTTAATGTACTTACTGTTTATACTTTTAATAAGCTTATTCACATTGTTTATAATTTTTTTTGTCTAAATATTATGTAACTTCCATAATTCCCTATATATTTTGTATCTTATCCGTTCTAGCCCTGAAGAAGACCTGCAAAGTCGGGTCGAATCTTTGGCTTATAATAAAATAGTTTTACCACTATTTAGCCTATTTATGACCGCCACCCCGCACCATCTCCTTCCTTTATTTTCTTTATTGCTTGCGGTAAACACGCTTTATTACTATGGATAAGTATTTGTGTATTCATGAATGCTCCAAGCATTAAGCGTAAAACATTTGGGTTTAAAGTGATATAAACGGAAATAAATAACGCAATGTCAAAAATGAAATTTTTCTCATAAAAATTTTTAAATGATAATAATAAAATATAAGCAAGTGTGTGCTTTTGATTTATATACAAATTTATTATTTCCTTCACCACGATTAACACTAACATAACTAGGAATTACCGGTGAATGGGAGTAAGATCATTCTCAACTCTGCTAGGAAGGGAAGTTCCCATGGTCCAGGAATACCCTTAAGCTTGAAGAGATCTCTTATCACTCTGCTTATCAAGAGCGTAATTATGATGCTCAAAAGAATCAGTACGATCGCCATGGCTGCTAGGAAACTACTGGCGTTTGAGGGTCGCCACGTCCCCACTATGACTTCTCAATGGAGATTACAAAGATAACTAGATGAGTCAGATCGTTACATCCTCAATCGGCAGAATGACTAGGTGTTTCGATTTAAAGCATACATTTCATTTATCTAGAATCAGATATATGTCTTGACATATTACGCAGTCTAAATAATGTTATCTGTTAGATAATAGTTTAATTAATAAATACACACATATATGTACCGATTGTCCCGTAAGTTGAGGAGAATTGGTATATACATTACATAAACAATGGGCCAATTTTCAGCAGAAAACTAGAATATCCAAGTTACCTATTTTTTTTTTTAAAGTAAGTCCTCTTTTTTCTTGAATAGCAAGCGAAAACTAAAGAAATGTTGTTGTTGTTTTTTTTTTAGTCCTCTCCTTCCTCGCCTTTAAGGCTATACGGGGTTCTCCCGGGCCAGGGAGTGTGGGTGGGGATTTAAAAGACTCCCCCGGCACCGGGATGCGAACTCGGAACTATTTTTCATCATTGTCTCATATGTCAGGTTGCCGGGCAACGGCGGTGCTATGCACACTCGTTAGCCCATTCGGCCACCCCGCCCACTCTTCATCCGCACCTGTACTTACAATTAGAAGATTTGTTGTTAGATAGGAAATGGCATGATAGGCATGACGAAGAATATTACCTAGCGGCACCTCTTCCCTGGTCTTTTTACATCCAGAAATCAGGAAAGGAAATCTCTCGTCCAGCTCCTTTTCAGTCGCCTGCTGATGAGCATTTCAGCCGTGGCCATGTCGTTGATAAGTCCATTGTGATGTCCTGCTTAGTGTTGTCCAAATGCGAGACTGAGACGAGTCTGGGTCTAGCAAACTCAGTCTTGGTCTTGCGCAAGATTCTCGCAACAGTCTTGCAGTTACTTATTAGCTAATTACTGTAGAGATATTACTGTATTTTTTTAGATAGGAGAAACCTAGCGAAGCCCTAATGACAAATTAAAGGAGTTAAATGCAAGAGTATATTGCTTATATCAATTATTAACATATAGTAACTAAGATTGTCAAGTATTAGTAACTATTTTGCCTTAATTTTTATTTTAAAATTGATTTTTTTTACCAGTACTGGTCTTTTGATCTTGCAGCATTTAAGCGTTCTTGGTCTTGGTCTTGCAAAGTGCAAGACCGAGACCGATTTTGGGCAAGACTAGTCCTGCTTTTCGAAAAACTTTGTCATTTAATAAGCTTTAAGGCCATATCAATTAGGTTAATATTTATTTGGCAAAAACTTGAGATTCACCTCAAGTTGTGTAAAAAAAAAAATGATTTCTTATCCTTTCACCTAAAAGTATCCGTGTTAAAATTAACTGTTGCAAAGCTTTTATTTCTTGTATATCTAATTATATACATTATATTGTATCTTGCATATCTAGGGGATTTCGTAATAAACACAATTACCTAAATAAACTTTTTATTTAAAAAAAAAAAATTAATAAAAATCGATTTCTTAAATATATTTTTATATAAAGTGGTTACGAAACATTTTTTTCCCAGATCTTTTTCATAAGCATTAATCCGCACTTTTAGTGACAAAATTAATGTTTCTAGTCTAAAATGTACGTTTAACATGATTACTTTATTGATATTGATTTATAACATGATTAAAACCTGCTGATTGCTTTAATTATTTCCATGAAACGTAAAAATTAGGATCAGGAACATTAAGTTTGTTACTTAAAAATACGAGTCAATCGCTAAGGCAGAGATCTTGGGAAAAGTTTCATAACGACCATACATGAAAAATATTTTTTTTTAAATGATTATTTTTATTTTGTTTTTAATTAAAAAAAAGTTCATTGAGGCAATTATGTTTATAATAATACGCCTTATAATTTTTTTTTACGATCATGGAAAAAAAAAAAATAATAAAAGTTTTGTAACAGTTAATTTTAAAATGGGTACGTTAGGTGACAGGATAAAACTTTTGTTTTTTTTCAAAACTTGAGCTGAGTCTCAAGTTTTTGACAAATAAACATTAACTTAATTTATATAGACTTAAAGCTTATCAAATGGGGAAGTTTCGCTTAAAGTGGGGTATCTATAGTTGGATGACAAAAATAAGAATAATAATTTATGAATATTTTAAATTAGAATTTAGCCGCTTAAAGGTTTTCTGTAAATATTTTTAACAATCACAAATGCCATTTTTTATCTGTAAATAGATTATTTGTAAATATTATCTGTATACAGTTTCAGAGTTAATTGGTCAAACTCCAAAAATAAATTAAGGGCCTCAAAACAAGAAAACATGCCTCTGAAGGTATGTCCGCAGACGCTTTGCTTAGGAGATATTCACACCTAAAGATTTTCGCTGTTATGAATTATTTACGTTATATGAAATAATTTAAACCTATTTATTTGTTCTTTATTAATTAAATGTAAACATTAACATTCATATTAAATGTTGTTCAAAGTGAAGATGGTTTAGATAAAATACTCATATGGCATTTTATCTCTAACTGTATAAAAACTATTGGCAACACAAGGATTAATACTATTCGGAATTAGCATTGGGACCTCCCAATAACATTTATAAGTTTGTAAGAGGCTTTCGCAGAGTACTCATCATTATGACTTCCATTTATACTAATGGTGAATATGCCTATATGGTGTTACGGTTTTTGCATTGGAAATGTTAATGACGCCCGGCGATTTCCGAATACAAGATTACCAAACAAGTCAATTTTTAGCTCCACGTTTAAACGTCTTAGATAAACTGGTACATTTGCTATAATACCACGTTCTAATGGTATTTTTGCTCCTTTACGAAATGAAGAAAGGAGTGCGACCATATTACAATATTTTGATGATAATCCATCCGGCAGTGTACGAAGAGCTGGAGCAGAATTAAATATTACGCCAACTACTGTATGGAGAGCTGCCATTGCAGATGAACTTCACCCATATCATTATCAACGGGTACAAAATTTATTACTGCAAGAATTTTGGTAAAGCAGAAATTTTTCAGATTGCTACATAAATCAAGTCGAGCATAATGCACAATTTTCAGGAAAAATTCTCTGGAAAGATGAATCTACTTTTACAAGAAGAGGTATCTTCAATAAGAAAAATAATCATCTCTCGTCGCAGGAAAATCTCCATGGAATTCATGAGCATCGTTTTCAGAACCAGTCTCAGTGTAATGTGCGATTGAGGATAATACACAATATTTTAATATATCCGCATTTCTTGCCGTCTTGACTCAATGCCAACACATTTTTGGAATTTCTTAATAATGATTACTATGATTTAATTGAACATATTCCACTATAACTGAGAAGAGACATGTGGCTCCAATTAGATGGTTGTCCTGCACATTACGGAAGAGGCCCACGACAATGGCTTAAATATTAATTATCCCAATCAATAGATCGGCCGTGCAGGACCAGTGGCTTGGCCTGCACGCTCTCCAGACCTGATACCAGTGGATTTTTTTTTTGGGAGGGGCGTGACATTATACAAAAAGTCTATGCAATTCCGGTCAATTACCTTAATTCCGAAAAAGGAAAATTGAATCTTGTAATACATTAATACATATCTAGTGCCGTTCTGCCACTGCTGCTGTTGAAGAAAGATGCCAAACCTGTCTTAATGCGCAAGGAAATCACTTTGAACAACATTTAATATGAACTTAATGCTTACGTTTAATTAATAAAGTAGTTGAAACAAATAAATAAGTTTTATTTACTTAATTAAACGTAAATAATCCATAACAATGAAAATCTTTAGGTGTGAATATCTCCTAAACAAAGCGTTTGCGGACATACCTTCATAGGATTTTTTTTTCTTGTTTCGAGGTCCTTAATTCATATTTCCAGTTTGGCCACTTAACCCTGAAATACTCTGTATGTTTTATATCTGTAAGTAAATAAGTAAATTTTATCTGATTTACAATGAAACAAATGTTAATTATTTACATTAAGTTTTTCTTTAGCTATCGCTTCCTACTCAACAAAAATATAGAACTTTAGAAAGAAACGAATTTGGATTTCCTACTTTTTTGTTGAAAATCTGCCTTATTTATATAAAACTTTTTGGGGCTCTTGAGGTCTGCTATCACCCCTTTGAAAATTTCTCTCAACTTATGAGACATCCTGTATATAAATATACAGAATGTCCCATAAGTAAAGAGAAATATTTAATGGGCTGATAGCAGGAAATTCACGTTTTGTGTTTTTTTTTTTTTAAGTGTCACATTTTTGTTAAGTAGAAAGCGATAGAAAAAATAAATATAGCATTTTCAAGTCAATCTCAACTCTTTCCAAATCAAATGAAACCTTTTTCCATTTCAAATTCAACCTTTTCCAATTCAAATTCAACCTTTTCCATTTCAAATTAAGTTTCGTTTATTTTATCCAATATGGGGTCTATTATTATGCTCCTGTAATAGTTTTTATAAATAAGTAGAGTTTTTCAAAATACTATCGATCTTTTGTTAAACTTTCAAATATCAATTTATTGTACCTATTCGGATTTATTCGATATAAAAAGCTAGTATTATGTTATCGTGTGCCTAGTTTTTGAAAATGACCTCCGTTTTATGAATACTCTACTGCGTTTCGACATATTTAAGTTTTTCGAATTTATTTGATACAAGGGTGTATTCTTATGTTTTCGTAGCCTTAGAGTTTGAAAATGACCTCCATTTTAAGATTATGCCACTGTGTTTTGGTTTATTTAACTTTTTTGGACTTATTCGGTATAAGGATCTATTTGCTATCGGAGTCTTAGTATTTCAAATTTATCTAATCTCCAATATTTAAATTTATCCAATATTTAATCTCCATTTCAAGATTACGCCGATGCATCTCGATTAATTTTTCTTGACTTTGGATTTTTTCGATACAAAGTTTCATCAATATGTTTTCGAGTATGAATAGATAAATATTATGAAGCTAAGATTAAATTAACCACAATACACAATTAAAAAACCGAAAAAGCAACAGGTAATAA